AGCCTGTTATTTTCTAAGTACCGTGACTTAACCAGTCCAATAAGGTAGGATATGCTATGTATAGAGGGTTAACATAACAGAGAAACAACAAGAAACAGAATAATGATAAAACCATATCACTATACAAGTATGGATATCATCACTTCAAACAAAACTTAGCATGCAATAAAAGAGAAAAACAAAAGAGAACCAATCAATTTAGTCTCAAGTCACACAACATTAAGGGTCCATAACAACAGTAAACAATCTACTTCTTGCATTTAATTGTTTCTCCATCAGTATATTTGTCATCATTTTTTCCTAATCTTAATGGCATCATAGAAATGTTGATCCTCCTAAGAGGCTTCCAAGTAATCCACTCAGACATCAGAAAGTTCCATTATATTCAAAAAGAAAATTTATTTACAAATCTGTTAAAGATGTTCACATTTTATTAATGAGTAGAAACTTCCAAAAGAAAACACTAAGGAAAATTACATTTTCTTTGATAAATCCTTCAGCGATCCAACACAACATACCTTGAAGCAAGCTAACAACTAGTGAGAGTACCTTTGTCCAATTATATGAAAACCAAAAAGATGCATCAGCCAGGTCTGAAGATAAATGACATGTTGTGAATACTATTTAAAAAAATCTAGTTGACTTCCGGTGTAAAACAAGAACATATAGAATCACAAAAAGAGTAAATATAGAAAAATGGCTCACTCAACAAGGATTTGGTGTGACCCAAATTGGAGGACAGACGCGGCTGAGGGGAACACCATGTAATGTGGCTGGGTACTGCCATCTGCTAAGTTGAACACCCCCATGTCCAAGCCACCACCTTCTTTAAACTGGAGGTATGCACCCAAACAATCATTTGTTATATAAATATGATCGGGCTTGATTCCCGGAAGTTGAGAAGCTTGGACCCAAAGAGAAGCATCACACCCAAGAAAAAAGCTTTGTCCCCTAAATCCCTAGCCGCAATAACCGATTGCATAAAAGTTGCCACTGAAATATAACGCATCATTGATATGTCCTTGATAGGTAAACTTTTTAATCCTGGTCCATAAAAAATCTCCTGGTCTGCATAAACTGAGCGACTGGACATTTTCCCTCAATTACCATGAGAATGTAATCAGACGTATCAATAAGAATTAGCTGTCAGAACTGCTTTATGTATAAAGGTCCATGGTTGTAAAGCCTTGATGGATTGATAATGTTCGGTGGTATTTTGATGTGGCAATTGTATTTGAACACCGGACAATGGATTAACAGACCGATTTCACCTCTTTTCCGACTCGAATAACCCATCACATAGCCTCCATACATCATTTTCCAGGGCTCCCGAAATCTCTTCTTCAAATCATGCTATTGTAAAGACTAAGAATTTCCTACATTTGTTATCATTTTATTACACAACCACCATAAGCCATGGAACCTAAGCAACTTACTATTAAAATTGTCCTTGGTGGCTACACAGTGCCACAATTTGCAAACATGCGAAAATTAAGGTAATTCTCAATTAGATCTATACGTCTAACAATTATAACCAACAATTCACGTTAAAATCCGACCAATAATTCATTTTTCTCAGTTTCAATCCCCTAGCTAACGAATGAATTTAGTAAAATCGGGCAAATGGATGGGAAATACCTAATTTATGTGAACTGAACTCCCGATGAAAACTGATGAAATGGACAAGCCAATCGGTGACTGTTCATCAACCAAGTTTTTCAGCGGAGACGGCGGAGCTCCCAATCAGTGTTCTCCGGGAGCTCTAACACCGGAATTTCACCGGAGATGACGGGGGTTGAGAGGGGCGGAGCTCCCCATCAGTGTTCGACGGGAGCTCGAACACCGGAGTTTCACCGGATATGGCAGGCGTTGAGAGGGGCGGAGCTCCCCATCAGTGTTCGCCGGGAGCTCGAACACTGAGAGGGAGCGGAGCTTCCAATGAAGCACACTGTTTGAAAGATAGAAAGGTGTTTGAAAGAATCTAAAGCAAAATTGTTGAGAAAATATCAAAATGGTCTTAAATGTATTGGTGTCGTATTATTTTAGTCCATTTTTATTTATCACGTAATCGAAATAGTGTTTAATGTATTTAAAATAAATTATCATTTAGTCCTTTATATATCACATAATTGAACTATATGTTATTTAGTCATAAATTTTGAAGTGGAAATCTCTAAAACACAAAAACTAATTTGAGCCATTTTTAGAAAATTTATAAATATTTGAAAATTAGATTTTCTCAATCTTCTTAAATAATTGGTCAAACATAGCGTAATGTATAGAAAAATTAATTAATCTAGTCCTTCATATATATTACGTAATCGAAATGGTACTTATGATATATGAAAAAATATTAAATTTAACCACACACATTGTAAAAGGAAGCATCCGTGTGCATCTGCAATAATGAAGTAGACATTTTTCTTGTTTTTCTTATAACATAGTTTTTGTTCTACAACGAGAAACGTAGTTAGAATATAATTTTTAAAATAAAAATAAATGTTGATTATTAGTATAAGAGTTTCCATGAAAGGTAACAAAGTTAGCCTTTCTTCTCATCATAAAAAATAGCTATGGCCAAATATTTCACTATTCTTGTATTAATAATGAACATATTAGTTTTGTTGATATTAATTACTCCATCTTTTACCCCCGCATCCACATATACACCAATTTCCTCATAAGTCATACCTTATACATATATTAGTTATGTGGATTTCTAGTAGTTGGTTTTGTGTTGTGTTCTTAGGAACTCCACTGCGTATCGCTTTGTTATGCATGTCATTTGGATTTATTTCCTTATGAATACTAGAACTCAATCATTGAATCATAGAGGCATTCTTTTTCTTCATCTTGATCATTCATGAACACTGCATTACCAATTTAAACATCCATTTTAATTTAGCTTGTTTTATGTATAATCTGTCCTCGTATATATATATACACACACACTTCTGATTTTATATTTATTTGTTAAAACTGACTACTTAATTATTATTCATGATAATATTATCTGCCACATGCATGTTTTGAATCCCTCAAGTAAGATATTTATTGTTGTTTCCTCAAACTTGTTTCTTCAATCTGTTGATAATCAGATAAATATATCATGAAGCCGGTAGTCACTTCGCATAGAAATGTCACACTATTGTTCATGTTTCATTTGGTATCCTTTATTTTTACTTAAACGATCTCATTTTTTTATGGAGAATCTTTGTAAGTTTATTTTTAAAATGAAATTTTAATGTATGAGTGGTTACGTTGTAAAAGGCCCAAGAAATGATGAAAATTCCAAATTCCTAAAAAAATAAACAAGTAGTTGGACATAAATTCTGAATAATATTTTAAACATTTATTTTCAATATTTGTTTTACCAAGTAATTTAAGCAAATTTTGAATATCAAATCTTTGACCAAAAATTTAAGTAGATTTTAAAAATCAAATATATTTTCAAGTTCTCAAAAATTGACCGAGACTAGAGTTTTCATATTTGAGACTTTGGCTCACATTGTTGTTTATTTTAGAAAAACACACTCCCAAACATAACATTAACTTTTCAAATTTGAACTTTTAAATCTATGGCTAAAATAAAAGAGGGAAAAGGGTCAAAAATACCCCTCAACTTTGGTTTAGTGTTTGACTTTACCCTCGCCGTTAAAACGAAGTTTAATTTTACCCCTCCAGTTACTAATTTCACCAAATTTACCCCTCATTTGACGGAATCCCCAAAATTGACCCAAATTACCCGAATTTAAAAAAAAAACCTATTCCATATTTTAACGCAATGACCCGACCCAATTTAGAATAACCCAATTAACCTTATTTTACCCATTCTCCCAAATTTCCTTTACCCATTCTCTCTCTTTTTCTTCTTGTTTCGTAGATTCTCTGCCCCATTCTTTCCATCTCTACTGTTCTTTACCCATTCTCTCTCTTTTTCTTCTTGTGTCGTAGATTCTCTGCCCCATTCTTTCCATCTCTACTGTTCCTCATATTTTAACCATTCATCCGCAAATTAGGTATCTTAGGAGTCTCATCTATCCGTAACATTTAACCGATTGCTTTAACAAATCATTTTTTAATATAAAATACGTGAGATAACTAACCAATGAAGGATCCGTCTTATTGTCCATATTGTGGTGGCTGCTAACTGATTTATCAACCACTGCTAACTGGTACGTCTTATTCTTGGAAAGTGACCTTTTTGAAGTAGAACTTTTGCGTGTAACTACACTGTTGGGGAATGCATCAGTTTTAGATCAAAATGGGCTTGAACCTGCTAGCTCCCTGGCTTCGGGAGGAATGTTTTCAAATGGAGGAGCTAATGTGGACAGATGGACATCACCATTTCAATCAGAAGTATGGATACAAACTATTAACATAACCTAATTTAGATCTAATTTTTTGTGTTTGAAAAGTTTTTCTGACATAATTTTCTAAATTTCCATGCTAACTTGATTCCTTTTCAAGTGTTTTTCTGACTTAGCTCCTGATGGAGAAAGAGAAAGAGAATGGGTAAAATAGGGTTAATTGGATTATTCTAAATTGGGTCGGGTCATTGGGTTAAAATAGGGAATAGGTTTTTTTATTAAATTCGGGTAATTTGGATCAATTTTGGGAATTCCGTCAAATGAGGGGTAAATTTGGTGAAATTAGTAACGGGAGGGGTAAAATTAACTTCGTTTTAACGGCGAGGGTAAAGTCAAACAATAAACCAAAGTTGAGGGGTATTTTTGACCCTTTTCCCTACAAAAAACGCAAATTGTATAAAATGCGTTTGTGTTTGTATAATGCGAGAGAGCTAAGGATTATTTCGGTTCCGAGTTATATATAAAGGACTTAACTAACCATTTTTAATAGATTAAATACTATATTGACTACATAATATAATATTGGACTAAAATAATCACACACTCATACATTAGGGACTATTTTGATCAATTTCTCAACAATTTTGTCTATTTAAAGCAAAGTCCAAACAACGAAAGAAAGTATTTGTTACATTTTCAACCAAACACAACTTTCACAGTGTGCTGCTTCTCTGTGTTCACACATCTCCGGCTGAATCCTCACTGTCCTCCGTGTTCGCCGGAAGCTCGATTCACTTCAATTAGGTATTTTCCTACCATTTATCGGAATTGATTCGTTAGTTAAGGCTTAAAACTGAAAAAATGTCTGATTGGTCTGAACTTAACTCTGATCTTCTGGTTCTAGTTGTTAAGCGTATTAATTTGATTGAAGATTATCTTAGTTTTGGTACTGTCTGCAAATCCTGGCACTCTCTGGCCACAAAGGATAATTTTAATAGCGATTTGCCTAGGGTTCCATGGCTAATGTTAGCCGAGGAAGAGGATGATGACACATGTAGGAAATTCTTCAGTCTAGAAAATGGGATGATTCTGAAAAAGAGTATCCCTGGAGCTAGGGGAAAAAGGTGTGTTGAGTCCATGGGATGGCTTGTAACAGTCCGAATAGGCCAGAGTGAAATAAGTCTATTGCATCCATTTTCTGGTGTTGAAATCCAGCTGCCAGATCAAATTCGATACCCACTGGATAATAATAAATATTATGGACCCGTCACTTTCTCACCAGCAATCTCTATCCATAAAGCAGTTTTGTCAGCTAATCCTTCTCATACATCTGACTACATTCTAATGATCATTGAGGGAGACTTCAGTTTCCTCAGTCTATGGAGACCAGGTGATTTGTCATGGACCAGACTATCGGTCTACAATGGACAAATTACTGATGTAGTATATTTCAATGGCAAATTTTATTCAGTCGATTATAAGGGTCGTATCTCTGTTTGCAATGTCTCTGGCTCTGAAATCGGTGAAAACAATCGCATAGCGCAGCTAAATCAATGTATTGATGGTATTTATTACATCCTAGAATCACTAGGATCGTTATTTGTAGTTGTGCAACAATTTGTTGGTTTATCGTACGAGTACGACTCAAATGATTGGATTCTACGGACTTCCATCCTAGGTGTAGATGATGAAGGGGAGACTGTTTCCAACACTTACAGGACAAATTTTTTTCTAGTTTACAAGATTGATTTAGATGCTTGCGAAGCTACGCCAACGAAGGATTTAGGGGACAGAGCTTTTTTCCTGGGTCCTAATGCTTCTATTTCGGTTCAAGCTTCTCAATTTCCAGGAATCAAGCCCAATCATATTTATTTTACAGATAATTATTTGTGTGCATACCTCCAGTTCCGAGAAGGATGCGGCTTGGACATGGGGGTGTTCAACTTAGCAGATGAAAGTATCCAGCCACACTATGATGGTGTTTCCCTCAGTCGTGTTAGTCCTCCAATTTGGGTCACACCAAATCCGTGTTGAGTGAGTCACTTTTCTATATTTACTCTTTTTGTATTCTATATATTCTTTGTTTACCCCTGAAGTCGATTGGATTTTTTTAAGGAGTATTTACAACATGTCATTTACCTTCTGACTTAGCTAATGCATCTTTGATTTTTATGTATAATTGGACATAGGTACTCCCATTATGTGTGATACTACCTTGCTTCAAGATATGTTCTTTAGGAATGCACTACTACTTCACTAAATCAGAATTGTCTTTGTTCTCAAGTTTCCACTAAGAAACTTGAGGGTTGTAATTCTTTTAAGCTTCAGTAAAATGTGTTTTGAAGTTGTTTCGTAAGGGTTAAAATGAGTTTCACACAGAATAAATATATATTTGAAATGCTTAAACAGACTGTTATTCTGCATGTACTCGTATTATAGTTAGCCTTTCTTTCCTGAAACAATAGAATCAACAAGGAAATATTTGAGATTCTTCATTTTGATGTATCCTCTTCTTGAAGTCATCCTTTGAAAGTGCCGTACCCTTATTTCTAGTGACCGATGTTACATCAAATTCACCTTGTAAGCACCACTTCGATGTCTTCCTTTCTTGACCAATTCAGCTGGAGCTTAAAGTCCATTTTGAATCTCACTTTTTTTGACCAAGAGGACTTGAAAAAATAAATGAGAGCATTGCACTTTCACATCATTGAGTACCCTCACATTCCATGACACAATACTGACCTTCATCGATCATGATAGATACATCCCTTCCCCTCTTCTAGTGCCAATACTGATGAATTTGCTACCCGGTTCTAGGCTCTTTAATTATTTTGCACCGTTAACTTTTGTAGTCATAGGTCCATTGCTTTGGATACTTGAATTTTGTTCTGCCTCTTCACATCAATTCTAAATTAATAGTTCCATGCTATTTTCTCACAACCTTGAAAATGGATCCCAAATTCCTCACTGAATCTAATACAGTAATATTTTGTTGCACCCATACTGTAATCGGAATACCAGGTACTGAATCCACTGTCTCGACATGATCAGATGTCTCGAGAGGGGTAACATCCCCGACATGTAAATCCCTTACTTCTTTTTTTCCTCTTGATATATCCATTCTGTATGAACCAACCGATTCGACATATCAGTGTGTGAGATAATCTACATAGCCTCCTCGCTCGTGGTGGTTGGAGTTTGGCGATCTTTTTAGAAACTACTCTCCCGATTAGATCTGTCAAGTAGAGGGAATGAGAATTGCAAACTTCCAGTCTCCTGTTTTGTTCTAGTAAGTATCGATAGTTATAGTAAAAACTTTCGAAGAGCCCACGTGCCCCACTTTACTGCCTGATCCATTCATCCCTATCACCATAGATGTGATGTCCTTTGTTGCCCAATGGTTCAATGACCGATCCTCGTCTGCTCCTACGGAGTACCTTACCGGCACAAAAAATCTAGGAGAACTATTCTTGGGATTTCAATCTTGTCACTGCCTTCACCTTTCCGTCTTGTCACAATCTTCCACTCATTAATAAATTGAACATGTTTAATAGATTTATAAATAAATTTTCCTTTCGAAAATAATGGAGCTTTCTGATGTCTCATTGGATTACTTAGAAGTCTCTTAGGAGGATCAACATTTCTACGATGATGTTAAGATTAGGAAGAGTAGACGACAAATATACTATGAAGAAACAATTAAATGCACGAAGTAGATTATTTACAGTTATTTTGGACCCTTAATGTTGTGTGACCTGAGACAAATTGTTTGGTCCTTTTTCTGCTTTTCTGCTTAGTGCCCACAGTAAATTTTGTGCTGATAAAAAACCACTCTATTATTGCCAGATAACTTATGTTTGAAGTGACGACATCAATACTTGTATAGTGATATGGTTATATCATTATTTTTATTCTTGTAATTTCTCTGTTATGTTAACATATTTTACCTTATCGAACTGGTTAAGTCACAGTAATTAGAAAATAACAGGCTAGCAAATATTTATGTAAACCTACTACTAACTATAAATCTTGTTTATCATATTTGTTGAGTTTAGAACAAGTAGTTGAATAGTTCACTCTGCTATTTGGTTAACTATGTTAAAGATTTTGGCTGTTTGCATGTGTCTTGTCAACAATTTTGCATATTTAACTCCCGATGAACATGAGAAGTTTGTACACTTGAATTTTTGATCTGTAATTTGAGTAAATCTATGAATCAGAAACCTTAAAAGTACACTCTTCAGAATAGGATATGAGGAAGATATTACTCTTTTAATTGCCATGTCATATTTATTCTGGATATAACTTTGGCTTTTATATTTACTGTCACTCTTTCTTTACAGGCATCTGTTGATCCATCAAATCTAGTTACATCTGCTTATATTCATAAGATTTTGGGAATCTTGCCGAGAAGCGCAAGATTATGACTCAAGTTATTTTGGATGTTCAAGAATGTAACGTAATTTCAGCTGCACATCTAGTGTAAGTTAGTTTTGTTGCTTATCGCTAAAACATGTCCTATTTTAACCCCTTTTATAACAAGGGGGAATTGTTACTGTTGCTCAATTATCATCTAACTTTATCTTATCATAATGTGTTTAGATATTGTGAGACAATGCAATCATTTTACTGTTAATGCTTAAAGAACTCCTTTTAGTTATCAAAAGTATTTGTTGGTTCAAATTCCTGTTCCTCTTTACAATTACAAGATCCTTCTTTTAGCTTTGTGAAAGAGGGCTTTTTGTAGTAACTTGTATTGCTAACGGACATTGTTCAAGGTAGTTATAGTGAAGGGGGCATAAATGGAGCGATATGCATATTAGTTTGAGATTGAGACGTAGTGTTTGTTGTCTTACCAAATGAATAATGATAAGCATGTTTTTCACAAACAAGTCATACCTACAAGTAATCCTCATGCAATGAATATATAGGGTGAAGGAAAAAGTAAAAGAAAATAATAAATTTTTTCTAGTGGAAATATATCAACATACTACTACAACCAATACATTAATATTTGCAATTGTTTCAACTTCTCGGTGCTTCTCTTTTCGTATGTAAAATATGTGATTGATGAATAAAGATGAAAGGACCGTCTATATCTAACATATTTTTATTGTCAATCATAACTCACCAAAATGGTCATTTTTTTAGTTGATGTTGTGTGCCATTTTAGCAAGAAAAATTATTCATGTATTAAAACAAGCATAATTAGTATTATGTTTGGTATCATTTTGTTATGTATAAAATTCTACACACCAAGTATAGTATTAGTTAGATGTTTGCGATTCCGCATAAACAATCCCACATAACTAATATATGTATAAGTTCGAAAGAAATTTATGATACCCATCAAAAGAAAAGGAAGAAAATTATGTTATTATTTATGCAGGGTAGAAGATCAAATAACTATATATATGGACAACTAAATCGTGCCTAAATTTACTCTCAAAACTTTTTTAGATGTAGAGCTATAAATTTGTCCTTTTAAGGATTATTCAATCAAATATTTCTTTTAATGGATATATAAAATAATTGATTCAAAAAATTAAATTTAAAACGGAATATAGAACTATCATAAATAGGAAAAGGAGAATAAATTAACGGGAAACATGAAAAAGCATAACCAACAAGATTGTAGATGTTCTAATTAATGAGAAATAGAGACTTAACCTAATTTAATCACTCATTTGAACGACCTTTTATTTATGATAATCAGGAAAAGTATATATAATGTAGAACTAAATTCCATTTTAAAATCTTCTTGAACAACAACATACCCGGTATAATCCCAGGGGTCTGGGAAAGGGTAGAGTGTACGCAGAACTTACCTCTACCTCAGAGGTAGAGTGATTGTTTCCGATAAAGGACCCTCGACTCAAGGAAATTAAGTCTTTCTAATATACAAATTTATAATTTTATTGTGTAGTCAAAAAAATAAAATAATGCATTATATCTTCTTTCCATATCAACACCTTTTTATTTCAATATTTCAAGATACAATTAAGTTTAGTTTTTCAACAGAAGTTCTCTTAGAACTATTGAAAACCTACTATACGTATCACCAAGTTACAATTGTTATTAATTTCCAAATAAATAAAAAAATTTACAATTATTATTTCATGAGAAATTTGTCAAGCAGCAATATAAACTGTCACCGTTGGAGAGTTAAATTATTTTTTTGCGATTATTTGAGAAATCCGACACCATGTTAGTAACAATTGCCATCTTTTTTCTGAATCCTCCTATATGCATTCCTGTTTCTTCCATTGATTATATTTGCTCCTATGATTTGGCGTTGCACTTCAATGAGCTAGAATCAACCTTGTAAGTTTGGTGAATAATTGGTGGGAAAAAAGGAACAATGTAGTATTGGTAGCAATATTTTCTTAGAATTAACGTCTTCTCTGAAGCTATATCTTGATATTTTGGAACAACATTAAGATAGATTTATATACATGTACATGATGATTATTTTCCGAATTAACAATGAACATGTGTGCTTAGTAATCATCTCTTTTGGTAGTTATACTAAGTTTGTGTTATACTTAATCTGAAAGTTGTATGGTTATTGTTTTGCTCTAATATTATATATCTCATTCCCTATTGATGTATCAGATTGTTAATGGCTGGTTGGTCGGAGCTTCTACAGGATTTGTTGATGTTAATAGCTCATTATCTTGTCATATGTACTGTTCAAGTCGGGTTCACATGTGTTTGTACTTCATGGAGGTCAGTATTACCAACTGTTTCTAGTATTAACAATTATGGCTGCTGCTGCCTCGTGACGGTAGTACAAACAAAAAATATGAAAAGTTTCTTATTAACATACATGTAAGAAAAGTAATTCACTAACTTGAGGTCCCAGAGGTCCTTGGTAAGGTGTATCATGGGCGTCCCACATATATGGTTAGTTTCTATTGAAAAGGACTCCTAAAATCTCTCTGTCTAACTCTAATCCAATCACAAGGGTTGAAATCAAATCACCCTCCACCGTGATGTGAGAGTATTGTGCAAAGAAGCTTATTTCGATTTTGAGTTATATGTAAAGGACTAAAATAACCATTTTTAATACATTAAATACTATATTGACTATATAATATAAATATTGGACTAAAATAATTACACTCATACATTAGAGACTAGTTTGATCATTTTCTCAGCATTTTTGTCTATTTAAAGCAAAATCTAAATCAGAGAACCAATTTGTTGTTACATTTTCTACCAAAAACAACTCTCACCGTGTGCTGCTTCTCTGTGTTCACTGGTAGATCCGCCGCTCTCAGCTTCCATCTCCGGCTGAATCCTCACTGTCCTCCGTGTTCGCCGGAAGCTCGATTCACTAAAATTAGGTATTTTCCTACCATTTATCCGTATCGTTTCGGTAGTTAAGGCTTAAAACTGAGAAAAATGTGTGATTGGTCGGAGCTTGACCGTGATCTTTTGGTTCTAGTTGTTAAGCGTATTAATTTGATTGAAGATTATCTTAGTTTTGGTACTGTCTGCAAATCCTGGCACTCTCTGGCCACAAAGGATAATTTTAATAGCGATTTGCCTAGGGTTCCATGGCTAATGTTAGCCGAGGAAGAGGATGATGACACATGTAGGAAATTCTTCAGTCTAGAAAATGGGATGATTCTGAAAAAGAGTATCCCTGGAGCTAGGGGGAAAAGGTGTGTTGAGTCGCTGGGATGGCTTGTAACAGTCCGAATAGGCCAGAATGAAATAAGTCTATTGCATCCATTTTCTGGTGTTGAAATCCAGCTGCCAGATCAAATTCTATACCCACTGGATAATAATAAATATAATGGACCCGTCACTTTCTCACCAGCGATCTCTATCCATAAAGCAGTTTTGTCAGCTAATCCTTCTCATACATCTGACTACATTCTAATGATCATTGAGGGAGACTTCAGTTTCCTCAGTCTATGGAGACCAGGTGATTTGTCATGGACCAGATTACCGGCCTACAATGGACGAATTTCTGATGTAGTATATTTCAATGGCAAATTTTATGCAGTCGATCATAGTGGTTGTATCAAAGTTTGGGATGTCGCTGGCTCTAAACTCGGTGAAAATCATACCGTAGCGCAGCTAAATTCATGTCTTGATGATCTTTATTACATCCTAGAATCACTAGGATCGTTATTTGTAGTTGTGCAACAATTTGTTGGTTTATGGTACGACAGAGATGAGATTCCACCGTCTCTCATCCTAGGTGGAGATGATGAGGAAGGGACTATATCCAACACTTACAGGACAAAAACTTTTCTAGTTTGCAAGATTGATTTAGATGCTTGCAAAGCTACGCCGACGAAGGATTTAGGGGACAGAGCTCTTTTCCTGGGGCCTAATGCTTCTATTTCGGTTCAAGCTTCTCAATTTCCGGGAATCAAGCCCAATCATATTTATTTTACAGATAATTGTTTGAGTGCATACCTCCGGTTTGAAGGAGGATGTGGCTTGGACATGGGGGTGTTCAACTTAGTAGATGAAAGTATCCAGCCACATTATGATGGTGTTTCCCTCAGTCGTGTTTGTCCTCCAATTTGGGTCACACCAAATCCGTGTTGAGTGAGTCACTTTTCTATATTTACTCCTTTTGTATTCTATATCTTCTTGTTTACCCCTGAAGTCGATTGGATTTTTTAAAGAGTATATACAGCATGTCATTTACCTTCAGACTTAGCTGATGCTTCTTTGATTTTTACTTATAATTGGACATAGGTACTCCCATAATGTGTGATACTATCTTGCTTCAAGATATGTTCTTTAGGAATGCACTACTACTTCACTAAATCAGAATTGTCTTTGTTCTAAAGTTTCTTAGTGGAAATTGTTCATGATCTAATAATATTGAGGTGCAGTCACCATCAGGATTGATGTTTTTTTGAAATATAAATATCAATCACAATGGTGACTGCACCTCAATATTATTAGATCATGAACAGTTCCACTAAGGAACTTGAGGGTTGTAATTCTACTACAATTCAATAAAATGTGTTTTGAAGTTGTTTCTTTAAGGGTTAAAATGAGTTTCACACAAAATAAATATATGTTTGAAATGCTTGAACAGACGGTCATTCTGCATGTACTCGTCTAATCGTTAGCCTTTCTTTCCTGAAACAACAGAATCAACAAGGAAATATTTGAGATTCATCATTTTGATGTATCCTCTACTTGAAGTCATCCCTTGAAAGTGTCATACCCTTGTTCCTAATGACCGATGTTACATCAACTTTCACCTTGTAAGCACCAGTACCATGTCTTTCTTTCTTGACCAATTCAGCTGGAGCTTAAAGTTTATTTTCGAATCTCACTTTTTTGGCCAAGAGGTCTTAAAAAAATAAATGACAGCATTGCACTTTCGCATCATTTAGTACCCTCATATTCCATGACACAATACTGACCTTCATCGATCATGATAGATACATCCCTTCCCCTCTTCTTGTGCCAATACTGATGAGTTTGCTACCTGGTTCTAGGCTCTTTAATTCTTTTGCACCGTTGACTTTTGTAGTCATTGGTACCATTGCTCTGGATTCTTGAATTTTATTCTGCCTCTTCACATCAATTCTCATTAATAGTTCCATGCTATTTTCTCACAACCTTGAAAGTGGATCCCAAATTCCTCACTGAATCTAATACAGTAATATTTTGTTGCATCCATACTGTAATCGGAATAGTGAATCCACTGTCTCAACTTGATCAGCTGTGTTGAGAGGGGTAACATCCCCGACATGTAAATCCCTTACTTCCTTCTTCTCTTCCTCTTGATATATATATTCTGTATGAACCAGCTGATTCAACATATCAGTGTGTGGGATAATTGACATAGCCTCCTTGCCTGTGGTGGTTGGAGTTTGGTGATCTTTTTAGAAATTACTCCCCGACCAGATCTGTGAAGTAGAGAGAATGAGAATTGCAAACTTCCAGTCTCCTGTTTTGTTTTAGTAAAGTATCAATTGTTCTAGTAAAAACTTTTGAAGAGTCCCACGTGCCCGGCTTTACTGCCTGATTCATACATCTCTATCACCACAGATGTCATGTCCTTTGTTTCCCAACGGTTCAAAGACCGATCCTTGTTTGCTCCTACAGAGTACCTTACCAGCACAAAAAATCTAAGAGAATTATTCTTGTGATTTCAATCTTGTCACAACCTTCGCCTTTCCATCTTGTCACAACCTTCCACTCATTAATAAATTGAACATGTTTAATAGATTTGTAAATAAATTTTCCTTTTGAAAATTTATGGAACTTTCTAATGTCTCATTGGATTACTCGGAAGCCTCTTAGGAGGATCAACATTTCTACAATGATGTTCAGATTAGGAAGAGTAGACGATGAATATACTCTGGAGAAACAATTAAATGCAAGAAATGAATTGTTTACTGTTGTTTTGGACCCTTCATGTTGTTTGACCTGAGATGAATTGATTGATCCTTTTTCTACTTTTCTGCTTAGTGCCCACGGTAAATGTTGTGCTGATAAAAAATTGCCAGATAACTTATGTTTGAAGTGACGATATCAATACTTGTATAGTGGTATGGTTTTATCATTATTTTTCTTCTTGTAATTTCTCTTTTATGTTAACATATCCCACCTTATCGAACTGGTTAAGTCGCAACAAATAGAAAATAACAGGCTAGCAAATATTTATGCAAACGTACTAACTATAAATCTTGTTTATCATATTTGTTGAGTTTAGAACAAGTACATGAATAGTTCACTCCACTATTTGGTTAACTATGTTAAAGATTTTGGCTGGTTGTATGCCTCTTGTCAACAATTTTGCATGTTTAACTCCCGATGAACATGAGAAGTTTGTACACTTGAATTATTGATCTGTTATTTGAGTAAATCCATGGATTCTAAAATACACTCTTCAGTATAGTATATGAGGAAGATATTACTCTTTTAACTGCTATGTCCCATTTATTCTGGATATATCTTTGGCTGTTTATTTACCGTCACACTTTCTTCTTCTTGACAGGCATCCGTTTACCCGTCAAATCCAGTTACATCTGCTGATATTCATAAGATTTTGAGAATCTTGCCGAGAAGCACAAGAGTATCACTCAAGTTATTTTGGATGTTCAAGAATGTAATGTAATTTCAGCTACACTTATAGTGTAAGTTAGTTTTGTTGCTTATTGCTAAAACATGTCCTATTTTAACCCTTCTTATGTGCAAGGAGGAATTGTTATTGTTGCTCAATTACATCTAACTTTATCTTATCATAATGTGTTTGATATTGTGAGGCAATGCAGTCATTTACTGTTAATGCTTAAAGAACTCCTTTTAGTTATCAAAAGTATCTGTTGGATCAAATTTCGGTTCCTGTTTACAATTACAAGATCCTTCTTTTAGCTTTGTGAAAGAGGATTTCTTGTAGTAACTTGTATCGGTATCGCTAACGTGCATTGTTCAAGGTAGTTATAGTGAAGGGGGCATAAATGGAGTGATATGCAGACTAGTTTGAGATTGAGACGTAACTTTTGTTGTCTTACCAAATGAATAATCATAAGCATGTGTTTCACAAACAAGTCATACCTACTAGTAGAGTTGTCAAAAAGGGTCGGTCCAGCCCCACCCGTCCCAAGCCTCGCGGGCCAAGGAATTTGATTGGCAAGGGCGGGCCGACCCTTTATTTGGAATGCCCTGAAAATGCTCAAGCCAATCCAACCCTAGAAGGGTAGAGGGCTGGGGCGATCTAGCCCTTTTTCTTTTTCTTTCAAACTTAAAATTCTATAACATCAAGAAAATGAGAAAATTTTCAAGTCAAACATGGCATACAATAATGTTGTTTCAATAACACTAGCAAAAAATATAGTGTGATTAGCATGTATCTAAGATACTAGATATGCGAGATACATGTATCTCGTGTGATGCATTCCAGATACGCGAGCGAGATAAGAGAGCGGAGAGTGAGCTGGGAGGGAGGCGAGGGCACTACTGGATTTGTCTATGTATCCTAGATACGCGTGAATCCACTTGAATAGAGTGTATCTAGAACATATTAACCTAATTTTGAGTCCATGTATCTTGAGATACATGTATCTGGGCGTACCAAAATCTGGTAAGATTCGTAATATTACAATATAGCATGCATTTAAGTAATTAACTCATATACTAGTGAGATTGTTGTAAGTTACCCTTAATTAAATAGTTTTGGCACATGAACCGACCATGGCCCGACCCTAATCAGGCCTCAAGGGCCAAAGGCTAATATGGGTCGGGCTTATAAGCTCTAGTTTTAAATGGGCTTGGAAAATCCTATCCCAACCCTACCCCAATAACGGATTGGGTTGGGCCGTCCCCATGGGCTAAGCCTAATTTGACGGTTGTACTTACCAGTAATCTTCATTCAATGTATATATAGGGGGAAGGAAAAAGTAGAAGAAACTAATAAATTTTTCGTAGTGGAAATATATTAACATACTACTACAACCAATACATTAATATTTGCAATTGTTTCAACTTCTTGGTGCGTGTAAAATATGTGATTAGTGAATAAAGATGAAAGGACTCTATAGCTAACATATTTTTATTGTCAAATATAACTCACCAAAATAGTCCTTTTGTGTGCCATCAGAAAATCACAAATTAAGGGGTTATTTGGATGTTGGTTAGCAATAGAAATTATGCATGTATTAAAACTAGCATAATTAGTATTATGGTTGGTATCATTTTGTTTGTTATGTGTAGAATTCTACACACCAATTATAGTATTAGTTACATGTTCGCAATTCCACATAAACAATCCCACATAACTAATATATGAAGTTCAAAAGAAATTTATGATACCCGTCAAAAGAAAAGGATTACACCAATTTATGTTATTATTTATGCAGGGTAGAAGATCAAATAACTATGTATATTGATAACTAAATTTGCCTAAAATTTTTTTTGGATGTAGAGATATAAATTTATTCTTTAAGGATTAATTCAATCAAACTTTTCTTTTAATGGATATATAAAATAATTGATTCAAAAAATTACGTTTAAAACGGAATATAGAACTATCATAAACAGGAAAAGGAGAATAAATTAACGGGAAACAAGAAAATTCATAACCAACAAGATAGTAGTTGTACTAATTAATGAGAAATAGAGACTTAACCTAATTTAATCACTCATTTGAACGACTAAAACTAAAAAAATGAAACCTTTTATTTATGATAATTAGGAAAAGTATATATAATATAGAATTAAATACCATTTTAAAGTCTTTTTCAACAACAACATATCCTGTATAATTCCACAAAGAGGGGTCTGGGAAGGATAAAGTATACGCAGACCTTACCTCTACCTCAGAGGTAGAGTGGTGGTTTCCGATAAAGGACCCTCGACTCAAGGAAATCAAGTCTTTCTAATATACAAATTTATAATTTTATTGTGTAGTAAAAAAAAAAAATGCATTAAATCTTCTTTCCATATCAACAGCTTTTTATTTCAATATTTCAAGATACAATTAATTTTAATTTTTCAACAAAAGCTCTCTTAAAACCATTGAAAACTTACTATACGTATCACAAAGTTACAATTATTATTAATTTCCAAAAAAAAAGAAGGTAACAATTATTATTTTCTGAGAAATTTGTCAAGCAGCAACATGAACTGTCACCGTTGGAGAGTTAAATTATTTTTTTGCGATTATTTGAGAAATCGGACACCATATTAGTAAAAGGTTCCATCTTTATTTTGAATCCTTTTATATGCATTCCTGTTTCTTCCATTGATTATATTTGCTCCTATGAATTGGCATTGCACTTCAATGGGCTAGAGTGAACCTTGTAAGTTTGGTGAATAATTAGTGGGGAAAAAAGGAACATTGTAGTACAGGTACCAATATTTTCTTAGAATTAACGTCTTCTCTGAAGCTATATGTTGATATTTTGGAACAACATTAAGATAGATTTATATGTGTACATGATGATTGTTTTGCTTAGTAATCATCTCTTTTGGTAGTTATACTAAGTTCGTGTGATACTTAATCTCAAAGTTGTATGGTTATTGTTTTGCTCTAATATTATATATCTCATTCCCTATTGATGTATCAGATTGTAAATGGCTGGTTGGTCGGAGCTTCTACAGGATTTGTTGAGGTTTATAGCTCATTATCTTGTCAGATGTACTGTTCAAGTCGAGTTTACATGTGTTTGTACTTCTTGGAGGTCAGTATTACCAACTGTTCTTTGTTTGTTGCCATTTATGGTGGTAATTATAACTTGGCCTACTGCAAACTTGAGATAAAAAGTGGATATCCATTTCCAAAACAGGATACCACGATGCCATCTTTTATCACTACCAGAAGAAATGCCTTTAATGACAAGAGAATAAGGACTGGCCATTCAAGAGAATAGCCACAAGAAGTTGGTTCTAAATAGAGTAATACAAGTAATTGAAAGGGAATTTTTCCTAGTTTTATCTTCCCTCCAACCTTTTGTATGTCCCCTCCCTCTCTACATTTCCCTCCTTGTAAACCTAGAACAGAACGAAAACTTAAAATCCTAGTCTCCTGTTATTTGATTTTTCCGTGGATCTGCAATTGTTTCATCAGGGATTTTGAATTTGTGGTGGATTTTAGATATTCTGGAGGGGGAATGATGTGGAAGTGGAATATGAGCTTGTTCATGTGGTGGATGACTCGTTGATGTTGGTGGAGAAAGCCAATGGAAGATTAAATGGTGGAAACAACATGATGCCTTCGATCGACAAGTGGTACAAAAAGCCTTACTTCAGAGATTCAATGAGATTTTGTAGAAGAAGAAGACTCTTCCTGTTTGGCATCAAAAAGAGGAGTTTTCAAGCTGATGAATATCCAATCACCGACCATGCCGTCTCCATCACCGGCTATCGCCACCAAGTAACCCGAATCATCTCTCCCTCACTCTATCTATCTCTATCTCTTCTCAACCTTGCTCTCGTCAGTTTTGATTGTCGCCGGCTTACATACTCGAGTCCTAGGTTTTGTTTTGTTTTTCTCCTATTTTGTCTATTTTAATTTTTTGTTGATTTTCTATTTTTAATTATATTTTGCGCTAGTGGTCTGCTTTAGATTAGGTTCAATTTCTTTAATGACTCTTATAATACAGGTACTAAACAATGAGCATATAGTTAGATGTTATGCGGTTGAGATGGAATATTTAGCATTGCCTTTGTGACTTCGAATATTTTTAGTGGAGCGAGGGTTGTAATACTTTGCTATTTACTCAGAAAATGACAGTGCTTTATAATTCTAATGAATTTTTTACCTTTTTGTTCACTTTTACAATATGTGTACTGTCGTTCTTTTGTGGATTTGGTAATAATTATGTTGGAGTAGACCCAAAAGCCTTCAAATTGGAGGACAAGAATATGTATTAAGTGGGTGACTGCTGGTTATTGCTTGGATTATGAAATACTGTTTCTGTTCTTTCATGGCCACTGATATATTGAAGTTTTTTTTTTTTTTAGATAATGGATTTCAAAGAAGGCATCAAGAAAGTTTCAGGGGAATTAACAGGAGGGAAATTGTTCCAGCTGCAGAGGGTTGTTATAACTCTAGACTTAAGAATGTAGCTTGGGGAAGAGATGCCTTCAAAGTATCTATTGTTTCTTTCTGTCCATACACACCAAAAAATGCAAGCTGGGATCATCTTCCATACTTTCCTGACGGGTTTTCCGACCTTCCACGAGCTCCAGCTAACCAGTGCATCTTTAATGCTACTTGGCATAACCCATTTTAGACCAAAACTGAGATGAAGATATTCCTTCCATATGCCTGCGGCTGCTGTACAATGAAGAAGATGGTGTCTGTTGGTCTCTAGGGCCTGTTGACACATGAAGCATCTGTTGACAATGTGGATTTTTCTCATGATGAGGTCATCTTCGGTGTGGGAGGTTTCATGAAGGGCTAGCCAGCTAAAACAAATCACCTTGGGGGGTAACTTGGTTTTCTAGATTAGCTTCCATGGCCAATTAACTAGCATTTCATTTTGAGTACATAGTGAATGGTATGCGGCCTTCACAGAATATTCACCAACTGCTTTATCCCCCTAAATGAGTCTGTCAGGTGATTGATCATTGATCTGAACAACACACCTAGTCTCTGCAGCAAACGTCTTGTAGTTCCCAATTTTGGTAGTTCCTCCGGAATTGAGGGATCCAAGCATTTGGAGAAGAGGAAGACTCATCAAAAAGAGGAGTTCTCAAGCTGACTAATATCCAATCATTGGCGACGATGTCTCCGTCACCGGCTGTTGTCACCAGGTAATCCGAAACATCTCTCCCTAACTCTATCTTTATCTTTTCTCCCTTCGTTTTGATTTTTCTTTATTGTTGATGGCTCTCTTTCTGTCTTAGCTCTCAACATTGCATCTCGTTAGTTTCAATTGTCCTCTGCCTACACAACTGAGCCCCAGGTTTGTTTTCTTTTTCTCCCTTTTCTTTTTAAAGTTTCGTTTTTTTCATTGATTTTCTGTTTTTAATAAATACTTTGTGCATCTAGTCATCTGCTTTAGATTATGTTCACTTTCTTTAATGATTCTTATATTACAAGTACCAAACTATGTGTATATAGTTTTATGTTTATGTGGTTGAGATGGAATGTTTAGCGAGGGTTGTAACACTTTGCTATTTACTCAGGAAATTCCACTGCTTTATAATTCTAAACAGAAATTTTGCCATTTTATTCCCTTCTATAGCATACGTGTCGTTCTTTGGTGGATTTGGTAATAATTATGTTGGAGTACAATTTGGAGGACAAAAATATGTATATGTGGGAGACTACTCGTTATTGCTCCTTTGGCAGCAAGTTTCGTTTCTCTTGAATTTGAAAGTATTGTTTGTGTTTTCGTGGCTGCTGATTTGTTGAAGTCTATTAAATTCAATAGATAATAGGGGATGTAGCTCAAATGGTAGAGCGCTCGCTTTGCATGCGAGAGGTACGGGGTTCGATCCCCCGCATCTCCATTCACTTTTGTTTCGTCTCTACCTCCACAAGGTAGGGGTAAGGTCTGAGTACATTCGACCCTCCCCAGATCCTACTCATGGAATTTCACATGGTATGTTGTTATTAAATTTCAGTAGATAATTACTTCATTTTCTTATACGTTTTTTCTCCTACCTGATCCTTTTCAGAAAATTGCTTTTGTGCCAATTCCTCCATTCACAGAATGCCCTTATCAATCAAACTTTCTCTCTCTCTTATACTGGTAGATAACAGTATTATGTCCCCTGTACCATCCCATCATTTGGACCTTAGAGCAGGCCTCTGCACATACTCTCGTTCTGGTAAAATTCTCAAGGTGCTGTTACCTTAAATGGTCTGTATTTTCAGATTATGTGATGCATTCAGCAGTTTAGTTTATATCTGACCATAGTGATCTGGTGTGTGTGTGGAGGGGTACTTGTTGTCACTAGGGAAAGGGTTTTTCTTCTTTATTTGGTTTCATGGATTTTTTTATTTTTTATTTGGGGGTGGGGGAAGGGGAAATGGGGAGGGGATTACATGGCCAAAAATATCAGATTACCCTGATTGAACGAAAAAGAAAAACCACCTCTTATTAGTAAGCTCCTTTAGTAGATTAAATTACCTGAAGTCTCAATTACTAAATATCTGTTGCATAATTGGTCTCTTGGGAGATTATTAATTTACCTCAATTGAACTATATAATTATCTAAACAATAGTAGTTTGGAGTGCAAAGTTCATGTTTATTTAAAAACAGATAAGAGTACGTGCTAATATTATTCTAAAACATATTCCATATTTTTTTAAAGGTGATAAATTATGTAATCTTATTGTTAGGTCATTTTTCTTAAAAGATCCAATCACCTGAAGATTCTCAGGAATTTTAACCCCAACACATACAAGCAAGTAAATTTACATTTTGTCGATGTATCTTTTCAGATATTGTGGTATCGAGTTAATGTATTGCCTGTCTGAAGTTGGGACCTCACACATTTGACATTTGTAACCTGGGGGCTGTGAAAGTCTAAATTGCAGTCTTTTTACTAGGCTGAAGCTGCATATGACAAGTTCCCCTTATGCAGGCATTACTTGCTTTTTCTGAAGACAGTGTCTGCCCCTTTTACCAATTGTGAAGTTCAAAATTAGCTCACTGACTCGACCGGATATTCAAGTTATAAATTGAACTTAACAAAATCAGTTTGGCAAAGAACATGTACTTCCTTCGAAATGCAGAAGGTGCAGGCTTAGCCCATTTGGTTGCTGGCTTTGTTTAAGAGGGATTTAAAATGATGGTGTTGTGTAGAAAATAGCATGTATTAAATTTTGTTTACTGAAGCTGTGAGACTGACTTGATTGTCAATTTTTTTTTGTTGCACCATGAATAGCGTCTAGCTCTCAAGAGGCTGGTTGACATAAGCATGGAGCCATTACTCCTCTCTCATAGCAGTTGACAAAGCCATGGGTTTGCATACTCTGCAGGAGTTATCTGGTGGTGCCCACAGACTTCTTCCTGAAGGTGTGATAATTGTATTCATTCTGTAGGTTCTTTGAATTGATTATCGTCAAATGTTTAGTAATCAGGCTAGACCTGGAAACCTCCTTCCAGGTACACAGTTGGAAATCCTACTTGTCTTGTGGCGATGAATCATTGTGCAAATTGGAACTTCCATGAGAACAACATAGGTGTATGAGAAGGATTAGCTGACAGAACTCCTTTACGGATTAAGGTCCATGGTTCTGGGTCTATAATGTTTGGTGGTATTTTGAACCAGAGATGCAATGTAACAGATTGATTTCACCCTCGTCTTTTCTGATAGTGAAATGCCATCCCATAGACTTCATACATCGTTTTCGTGTGGCTTCTGGAATCCTCTTCTTCAAAATCATCCCATAATAGAGACTGAAGAATCTTCTACATGTTTTATCATCATCCTCCTCAGCTAGCATTAGCCATGTAAACCTAGGTAAATTACTGTTAAAATTGTCGTTGGTGGCCATAGAGTGCCACGATTTGCAGACAATGCAGAATCAGATTTATACGTCTAACAACTCAAGGTAAAGGTACAAGTCAAAAGATTTGTTAAGTTTAGCTGACCACTCCGTAACTGTCTCTTGATGGAAGTACATTGCACAATTTTTATAAGGAATAGTGTGTTTTGTGAAAGATGAATTGGTATGTCTCTAATTAAATTGTTGTTAGAATATCACAATAAGTTTGTTCATATATTCTCTCTTTCAGAGATTAACAAATATTATTGCACATAAACAGTGAAATCTGAAGACAGATCTCAAGAATTAACTCTGCAGGAATCAAATATATTTATACCACTATTTAATCATGAATGTAAAGTACAACACCATTCTGCAAGTTTTTTTGTAGCAAGTTTGATACCTTTACCAATTCATCTTTCACAAAATTCCTTATAAGATTCAACCACAACCTCGTTGAGTTCTATATTTATCGTGATCTCTTTACACCATGGTTAAGATGTAATTTGGTTGAGTTGAACTAAACTGAAAAGGAGACGGACTTTATTGAATTGCAGCATATGCGATAATTCTGGCCATAACAAAAGAACTTGCAAATTATATGTAGCCATTGACATGTTGCTTCTTATTTCTTCTCATCACAAAAAATAGTTATCGCCGAAAGATTTCACTATGCCGATATTAATAATGAACATACTAGTTTTGTCGGTAATCTTTTACCCTGCATATACACCAATTATATGAATTTCTAAATTATGAATCAGAAGTCGTATTTATTTTATACATGAATAACTTATTGCCTAAGGGGTTGTTTGATAATTAGTTTGAAGGTGAGTTATACAAGTATAAAATAAGAAAATTGTTTCAAGAAAAAAAATTGTGTTACTATCACAAGACAGATACATACAGACAAATTGTGAAGTTTATTAAACAACTCCTCCACACCTGTATAGTAAGTACTCATCCATCCTTAACGAAGGGTCTTGGTTCAAGTTCTCCTAGGTACGAAGTCGTCTCTACTAAGAGAGCAGTGTATCCCCTTTATAAGACTTTCCGATGCGAATCAAAATTAGTAGATTCCAATGCGAGTATCAGACACCAAGCGGGAAACAAAAAACAAAAACTCCTCCACACCCATATATTTAAGAGGGATACTGTAATGTGCACAAGAATCTAAAAACACAGAAGGTTTAATTCTTTAAACAGGAGCCTCAAGAAACATGTATCTTGTGTGGACATCCAAAGTAAAAATTCATGAGAATAAGCAAAGGGCTTCACAGAAATTGTTGCCAACTTTGTACTAAAATTCTCTCAACTATGGCTAAGAAGTGAACACCTATAGACCACAGAAAATAAAAACTTAAGAATAAAATCAAACTCAAATAAAGAGTGGAACATGGAGACAATGCATACATCCAGTTCTTTACTTCTCTTCCAGGCGACGCAACACTGATTCTGCAAAACTCTGCTGCCTGGAGATACAAAACAAACAAACCGTGACTTCAAAATTTCATAATCCTTGAAATGATCAGTACAGTAACCATCATCCGACATAGCAGGTAAAGGAAAGGATCTGAACAGCACAAATCATTAAGTCTATACTACTTGAGGGGGGGGAGGAGGGAGCAATATAGCAAACATACTTCCTCTCTCGATGCTTGGGGCTAGGACGAGAGTATTTCAAATATCCATCCCAAGGAACCTTTTTAAGACCTGCTCTAACAGAAATGATGCCCCTCACCCTGAAAAGAGAAAATTGGCAAGGATTTCCTTAAATACGAGTTCCGTCGAAAAATTAATTTCTAACATCTGATAAGATGAATGCCCCTGTTGGAACAATAGTTACTGCTTTTCAGAATGGGAAATTTTACCTCTCTGCAAACTCGATTGGAGTCTCCCCGGGTCTTATATTCTGAGGTTCCAGGTACCAAACATCACAGACAACAGCCCAAGATGTCATGAGCTGCAAGAGGTGTGTTGTGAAGGATTGTCTGCATTTAATAGAAGAAAGGCAAACTTTAAATTAGCAAACAAAAACAGGAGACAAGATAGATTATAACGAAATGAATACCAACCAACAAACCAGATAAGCAATTTGGCATTAAGAAAACCTTACTTTTTACTATTCCAAAAGGCATCAACAAAAATTTTGTTGTACTTGATTGCAACAGGACAGACGGTGCAGCCGAGTTCAAATGCTCCCTATTCATCATGCATGAAAGGGATAGAGGCATACAAAAACATAAGGTTAAACACTTGGAGAACCACATTAAGAAAAAAAAAATACTAAAATATTACTGAAGATCAGAAACAACATAAAATGCAACTTTTCAGTTTCCCTCTGTAACCAATTACTCACAAGAAAGAAAGAACTCGTAATTGAAGGGGGAATTTTCAAAAGACCTATAATTTGGGGCAAGGAGAGCTCAACCATTAATTTTTTTTAAAATGAATGAATTCATTGGGCCTACCTTTTTGAACATGACGGTGTAGTGGTTATTTACACAAGTTCCCTCAGGGAATATAAGAAGAGGGTTGTTATCGGCCCCTTCAACATGTTGCCTCAACCTGAAAAATTAAAATAGGGGATAAAAACAGAGCAAAATGAGATGCTAGAATGAGTCTTCGGACATCACGTACTTCTTTGCTACAATTTCACGATCCTTGGCTTCTGAGCGGTTGAACCAGATACAGCCAACACCTTCTAAAATGGTGCTCTGCAGTAGTCCTGCAAAAATATTATTTCTAATGAGAAATTGATATACGGAAGAGGAGACATAAAGAATCACTTCTAAATTTTATCCTTGCAGTTATACGAAGACAAGTTTGCAGCTTAAAGTTCCCTAAGCATGCGTGTCACTTTTCTTCTCAAGTACCTACAGAAAGGTAACCTAATACCCTTGAAGGTCGCATGCTTAGGTAGAGAGGGAATTCAGAAAAAGAATAAACGGAAGTGAAAGCATAACAAAGCATTCTGATCAGTAACTACAGCAAAATAACACGGAAATCGAAGTACAACTAATAGTGCAGTTGTGCCACACAATTCAAATACTTTGAAACAATTGAACGGTACCCCTCCATTACTGACAAGGTGAATTACAGTACAAGGGTCATACTTGCATCGCCCCTATTGACACACTTTAGCAGGGATGGGTATAGCACCTTATACACCTTAAGGTCTGAACATAAGCAAATGTAATGCTAGAAATTAAGCAAGTGATTAGCAAGTTAGACTAAATTTTGGCCTAGATAGTAGACTGCACCAGTAGGCAGTGAAGAAGATCTGATTAACTTCTTGTTTGTAATTGGCCTGGTGATCTAATAAAACTCTATGCATACAAGATTCTAAATTCATAGAAATAAACAATTATCAAAATAGTAACTGGTGAAATGTCTTTTCTAGACTAGCACAAACAAGGCTTTGAATTCTGCCTGTACAAGATTTGCTTGCCCAGTGAAAGAGGTAAGGAGGAGGGGTAGCAATATAAAATAACTTGGAGCTAGTCAAGCAAAAACTCTTATAATCATGAACAATATGGTTTTGTTGATTGAAAGTCAAATAGCACGATAACAAATAGAAGGTATAGACAGCCAAACCATAGTTACACTAAGCTTCAATAATTGTTTTCCACATCAAATGCACTCAGTTTGCACTCTGCACTGAATTTTTGCTAATTAGCTATGCAGTTTGCAGAACAACATCCACAAGAGTCTTGTCTGAGAAAAATATTCTTTTATTAAAAAAAGGTCCAACTAGCATGGCCAGAAGTTAAGAGGGTCTACACAGCCAACTTATAGTTACCTAAGCTTCAATATACACCTATGTATTTTTTGACTAGTAAAGTAAACCAAGTTCAACTCTAAGTTCAGATCAATGCACTCACTCTGCACCAAATATCTGTTAATTTGCTTATGCAATTATCATGACAAAATCTGCAAAATTCTTTCCAAACACCCTGTTCTTGAATCATTACCAGAGTTATAGGTTCTAAGAAAATTTTGAAATTTAACTGTTGAGGTGTTATTAAACCTTAAACTTTAGAAATGCTCCATCCCAAGATTGTATATTTAGGTTTAGCCATTAATATGCATGTCTTCATATTAAAGCTCAGAAACTTTTGAATGACGCACAAAAAGAACGCAAACAATGCAAATGCTTTAGAACTCTTACCGACCCACCCAGGATGCTTCTGCATGATCACAGCAAATGCAGTCATCTGCTCTAAGACAATAAAGTCAATCATTGAAGTGTGATTTGCCACAAAAACCTGTCAATAAAATGCATAAGGCGACTTTAGAAGTATCAAAGAAGATGTTTCACATGTTGATTTCAATTATAGCAGCAGATGTACCTGTTTAGGTCGTATGCTAGGTCGTGGGCCATGGTATTTGACAACCCCAGTCCAAGATGCAACAAAGAAACTGCATATCAGCTCCACCAGGCACCTCTAAGAAAATTAACCAAGGCAAGGGATAACAGAAACCTTAATATGTATACATACTCTTCAAAGGAATAACAGAAGTGCAAAATAAGCAAGTCTAGGCATCTTAATTCATAATAGAGAATTTCCCAACATATTGCCAATTTATCTTACTCAGGTGGGCCCAAAAATTGGATGGGGGTCAAGCCGCTGTCGGCTGTCGGGAGCCGGAGGATGACTCAAGTTGATTTGAATATTGTATTTCTTATTTGAATATTCTTGTTTGATTTGAATGTCTTTTTTAATACTGCCGTTTTTTATTATATACTTGAGTACTGGACACTGGTAGATTGGTTTCTTTCCATCATAGGGATAGTATTCCACAACACATAATGCCATTAAATACTGCCAATAAGTTTTTTAAATTAGGGATAGTTTCTGTCGCATTGTCTTTGATGGTTTTTGTTTGAATGTCAACCGGCTACTAAGGAAAAAAAGGTCATTTGGTGAACCAAGAAAAGAAGAAAGACAGACAGAAGCTTCAGGTTTCAGCTGGAAAAAAAAACGAACAATGAGCATAGTGTATCGGAATTTCTTCTATGACTATTTTTGTTTGCAAAAGCTAATTATTGAAACAGATGTAGCAGATTCCTTGTGTAATGTTTCAATGTGTTTCACCACATTTTTTATCCAAGATCATACTTGAACATATACACAGATGTTGCAGAAACCTGGTCCAGACACAATAAGTAATTTCCAAAGCTAATCAACATAATGAAGTGTTCCATTTCCATAGCTAATTGCATTTCCTAATGTTTGCAGCTAGAGTAATTTCTGTTCATACAGTGAAATCCCATGCTTGCTTCAATTGTTTGTTTTGGAACATATTCCTATTTCTCGGGAAATCATATTGCTCAAGTTTCAGTAATTTCTATGTGCATGCCAAGTTAAAAGAACTAGTCTTTCCATCATCTTAACAAGTAGCATAGTGTAAATAAAGCAGCTTTAACAAATTGTACAAACAAGCATATATATACAAAGCTCTCTTCAAAACCAGTTTCCGTATCAATATCTGCCATAATTTGCCAAAGTCTTACGAACTAAACTTGGTTTCCTCATACAGTAGTGTGCCTGCTCTTGTTTGAACCCAATTGTTCAGTATTTCACCAGACAGAATGCTGAACAACATTGCAGCTGATGGACTCTCTGGTTAGCTTAAACATATTTCTTTGAGCATGCAGTTCATTTTCTACGCCCAGTTCAGCACAGGCTTATTGGCTAATTACCAAAGAAATTTTTCTTTAATCTATGGAGTTCCTTTCCGCTAAGCGGGTGATGTTTTTCTTAACCATATTTCTTTGAGCATGCAGTTCTTTATACGCCTAGTTCAGCACAGGCATATTAGCTAATTACCAAAGAAAATTTTCTTAAGCTATGGAGTTCCTTTCCATTAAGCGAGTGATGTTTGTCTTAATGTGTGACTCACAAATTCCTTATAAGATGAATATAATTTTCTCCACAGTAAGGCCAAGGATAAAGATAAACGTTATCATATATATATTGTGAGCAAATGCCAACCAAAGTGCAGTCCTCAACTAAAAATAATAGAAGAGAAAATTTAAGTAAACTGGGTAGCAAGAGAGATACCTCTAGCTTTTTCCTGAACTTATCGTGCCCTTTCAGAAGTAAATGCACCGGGATATAGCAAGACAGAAATATTATCCATCCTATTGTCAAGACAATGACTCTGCAATTGAATTAGAAACAAAGGATGAAAAGAGTGAGCTTTCAATGGGGTAGTGAAAAGCTATTGCAATAGGTGACTAAAATTAGTTCATGATTAGGACTCAAATGAGAAAAATAAAAGAACTGAAAGAGACTAAACCTTATAGGAAAAAGAATTCCATATCTAACAACAACCCCTAAGCACCATAAAGGAAACAAATAGATGTTCCAGTTCCAAGGTTCTGGTGGATTTGACTTGAAGCATCGGGTGAAAGAATCCTGCAAAAAACGAATGGATATACGCAAATGAAAATGGATAATTAAACTTCCTGAAACTGAAAGGCCAAGCTTCAAATAAAGTTTTTGACAAAATCCAAAAGAAGTAGAGGTCAAATTGTTTTTTGGTAGTGCAAGAATTGGCAACTTTGCAGTCAAGGTGGTTAAATAATAAATCAATTGGCACGCGTCAGAAAATAAGCAAATGGGCAGTTGACAGAGCAAAAGTGACATCAGAGTTGAATGTCTAGTATATCGCTAATCCAGTCCTTCTCCTTTATGTTCTTGTAAGACTACAGCTTTAAGTTGAATACTCAGACACATGCATGAAATTGGAATATTTTTTCTTAGGTAACTTTAACTCCTTTCATTTCCTTTTTTTTTATAATGATAAATCCTTTCATTTCCTAAAACCTCAATGTGATTATATCACTTAATAGAAGGGGGGAAAATTACCTCTAGGAAACTTATGATGAGAAAGATATGCTGAAATATACAAATGGGATTTCCTGAATTATTAGGTTGAGATCCAAACTACTTCTTTTCAACACATACATAATAATAATAGTGGCCTATCTAAAACTTTCTCAAACTATAAGAGCAGTCCAAAACCAAGTCTTGGAAAAATCTAGAGGGCAATGGTTGCCTCATTTGCTTTGTATATTGCTATATGTGGTACTAATTAGTAATTGCATAGCTTCCTACTCTTCTATGTGTAGTATTATTTGTTGCATCATTTGCTTTGTACCTTCCTATTTGGTTGTTGCATTTTTCTTGAAACCCTGCTTCAATAACATTCCTAATCAGCCAATGGATCTATCGAAAATAGCCTCTCTACCCTCAGAAAGGTAGGGGTTAGCTCTGCGTACATCCTCCCTCCCAGACCCAATGTGTACATCCTCCCCCCCTTTGCTTTGTATCTTGCTATGTGAGGTACTATTTATTATATGCATAGTTTCCTATTCTTCGATGACTAGTACTGTTTGTTGCATCATTTGCTTTGTACCTTCCTATTTGGTTGTTACATTTTTCTTGAAATCCTGTTTTCATAACATCCCTTTTCAGTAAAGAGTCCACCGAAAACAACCCAGGGGTGGCTCAATGCCTTTAAAAATGAGGCAACCATCTTAGGCCCCCAAATTTGAGGGGCCCCATTTTTAATAATAATAATAGAATTATTATAAATATTTTTTAAACAAAAAATAAATTATGTTTTGTCATTGTTTTAGTTCGTTTCGAAACATTAAAGAATGTTTCTTTCTTTTTTGTCAATTTTTAAATTTAACTTCCACATGACATGTTTAAGCTCACAGGATTAAAAAATATTTGGCTTTGGATTTCAAAAATAAAAGCTAGGCCTCCTATTTATATTTGGTTTTAGGCCACTAATTTGCTTGAGCCGCCATTGAAACAACTCCTCTGCCCAAAAAAATATGGGTAAGCTCAGAGTACATCGTACCATTCCCAAACCCCACCTGTAAGTAAAGGTCAATTGTTTATGGAAGTGCAACAATCAGTAAATTTGAAGCCTGCTTTCATAGCATCCCTTTTTCATCCAAGAGTATCAAAACAACCTCTCAACTCCAGAAAAGGTACCCATAAGCTCAGCCTACATCCTACCCTCCTCAAACCCCACTTGGAAGTAAAGCTCAATTGTTTATGGAAATGCAACAATCAGTAAATTACAGTCATGGGTCGATGTAAGATTGAAATTCAATAACAGAAATTTCCACTCACGTCAATAATTGCACCAGCCGCCTCAGTCAAAGTGGGGGATATATCAAGCAAATCACGCCTGAAAACACAAATTAAACCAAAAGGGTTACATAAAAATCAAAACTTTGAAACATTTGAAGCACCAAATGAAGAAGGGGGAGAAGAGGGGATTACAATCGAAGCTTTCCATGGGGTTCTTGGATGGATCCAGTAGGAAGATAATCTTCAAGATTGGGTCGATCAAAGTCCAATTCAGAGCTTGAAGATTTAAGATTACTCATGATTTTGATATCAACAATACAAAGAACCTGTTCCTTCTTGATATACACACACAGAGCATTCACTAGCTTCACTCACTTCAAGAAGATGCCCTTTTCAGAAAGAACAGATTATGAAATTTTCAGAAATTAAAATCATAAGCCCAATAAATTGTTGAGTTGGTGTAACAAAAACACAAGGTCGAGATTGATTGTTTTTTCCTAATGTCTTTTTAATTAAGCTAGTCATATTAAATTTACTAAATAAAATTTATTTATTTATTTTGGTGATTTGTGAATTATTGCAAAAGGAATTCAAGATGGAGGAATCTCTTTTTAATTAAGCTAGTCATATTAAATTTACTAAAGAAAATTTATTTATTTATTTTGGTGATTTGTGAATTATCGCAGAAGGAATTCAAGATGGAGGAATCTCTTTTTAATTAAGCTAGTCATATTAAATTTACTAAAGAAAATTTATTTATTTATTTTGGTGATTTGTGAATTATCGCAGAAGGAATTCAAGATGGAGGAATCTCTTTTTAATTAAGCTAGTCATATTAAATTTACTAAAGAAAATTTATTTATTTATTTTGGTGATTTGTGAATTATCGCAGAAGGAATTCAAGATGGAGGAGAAAAGGGTCAAAATCTTAGGTGTTTCGATACATAAACTCACTTCATTTTCAATTTTAAAATTATGAATTTAAATCACTAAAGCATTTTTTGTATTAATTCGAGATCAAAAGGTGTATTTGGTACAAACAAAATTATTTTTGTGGAAAATATTTTATACGAAAATAAAAAAAAAAATGGTTTATAATATTACACTTAGTGGGCTACCTCTTCTATTTGAATTTCTTAGTAACAATTTTGTTAGTCTACATATAATTATTATATTAATAGAAATAAATATAACATGATTAAAATATCCTTTAAAATATAATATAATGTTTAAATTTAATCTCTTTAACATCTTTTTATGAGAATCGTCATTCAAGAACCAATAGTTTTCTGCCTTTTTTAGTGTTTGGGGGAAATTATTTGTCACGTATGACGTCAAGATGTTCATAAGTAACACTCTTTCCACCTCGATTTATATAACATAACTTAGATTTCGAGAGTTAAAATCAACGGTTCATTTAAATAAATAATATCAGCAATGAACTATTTTAGGTGTCACATTAGCATTGTGGCAGCCTTAAAGAATTCATTCCAAGTAAATGCGCAACAATAACTTTGTAAGAGCAATAGGGAACTCTAATACCCACTCCAAAGAGTAAAAAAGACTACTATCGTCTAGCTCGATAACGACCCTGTGCATTTTAACACCACCACTACATTGTAATTCCACAGGTGGAGTTTGGGGATGATAAAGTGTATGCAGACCTTATCCTACCTCGTAGAGATAAAGAGGCGATTTCCGAAAGACCCTCACCCTTGTGTGTTTTACACAATAAGCTAAAGTTGGATAGTAGTAGAGCCACATTAACAAGCAGTTAAAATACAACATGCTTTAAATGTGTAGCTGCAAAGCTACTTTTTTGAAAACATCCAAAATAACTTGAGTCATATGCACGGGCTTCTGGGCAAGATTCTCAAAAATCATCTGAATATCTTCAATGGATCAATGGATACCTGTCAAGGAAATGTCGCGGTAAATAAACAGCCAAAAGCTATATCCAGAATAAACGAGACATACCAGTTCTTGTTAAAGAGTAATCGTAAGTGATGAGGGATAACGAGGATATCGTTCACCCAATATTTGTTTAGATACCCGTTAAACAGTAACAAGTGCAACAACGAGAAAAAGAGCAATGGTGCACCAACAAAAGAGTATAAGCAGAAAATGTTCAAAAATGTCACCATTGTCTCTGCTAGTAAGTCCAGATGAGAGTATTCAATAACATCTCCAGAAAGCGCAATGCACTCATCGACTTATTTAAAGTCCTCTTGTCCAAAAAAGTGAGATTCGAAAAAGGTACTTTAGGCTCCAGCTAAATTGGTCAAGAAGGAAAGACATAGAAGTGCTTACAAGGTGAAAGTTAATGCAACATCGGTCACTAGGAATAAGGGTTGGGCATTTTAAAAGAATGACTTCAAGTAGAGGATACATCAAAATGAAGAATCTCAAATATTGCCTTGTTGCTTCTATTGTTTCAGGCAAGAGAGGCTAACGACTAACGAGTACATGCAGAATGACAGTATGTTGAAGCATCTCAAACATATATTAATTCTTTCTGTGTGAAACTCATTTCAACCCTTGAATAGACAACTTTAAGAAACAGTTTACTGAATCAGAGTAATAGAAGAATCTTAAAACCTCTTTCTTTTCGGTTAGTATATCAATCTCAATGGTGATTGCACCTCAATATTATTAGATTATGGGCAAGATTCCACTAAGATTAGACAATACTGATGTAGTGAAGATTAGAAGGCAGTAGCACATTCCAACACAACATGCCTTGAAGCAAGGTAGTATAACAACTAATGGGGAGTACCTTTGTCCAATTATATGAAAACGACAAAGATGCATCAGCCAAGTCTTAAGGTAAATGGCATGTTGTAAATACTCTTTAAAATCGGCTTCCTCGGTAAAACAAGAACATATAGAACAACATAAAGAGTAAATATAGAAAAATGACTCACTCAACATGGATTTGGTGTGACCCAAATTGGAGGACAAACACGACTGAGGGAAACACCAGCATAATGCGGCTGGATACTGCCATCTGCTAAGTTGAACACCCCCATATCCAAGCCACCTCCTTCTTCAAAGTGGAGGTAGGCACCCAAACAGTTGTCTGTAAAATAAATATGATTGGGCTTGATTCCCGGAAATTGAGAAGCTTGGACTGAAAGAGAAGCATTAGCACCCAGAAAAAAAGCTTGGTCCCCTAAATCCCTGGTTGGCGTAGTTTTGCAAGCATCTAAATCGATCTGGAAAACTTGAAAATTTCTTGTCTTATACATGTACATCTTCTCCTCCTCCTCCTCCTCATCTTCATATGTTGGAACTCTTTCGCGATCATCTTTGACGTACCTTAAATCAACACCATTTTGTGAAACTACAAATAATGATCCTAGTGATTCTAGGATGTAATACTTACCATCAATGCATGATGGTAGCTGTGCTACGGTAAGACTTTTAGTGGGTTCAGAGTCAACGACATCACAAACTTGGACGCAGCCACTATAACTGACTGCATAAAAGTGGCCGTTGAAATATACCACATCACTATTATGTAGGAAATAGACCGGTTTCTTAATCCTGGTCCATAAAAAATCTCCTGGTCTCCAAAAACTGAGGAACTGGTAGTGTCCCTCAATGATCATGAGAACATAGTCAGATGTATGAGAAGGATTGGCTGACAGAATTGCTTTCTGGACAAAGGTCCATGGAACAGGAGTCTGGTTGAATTCATAATGGTCGGTGGTAATTTGATGCGGCAATTGAATTTGAACACCCGAGAAGGGATGTAACAGACTAATTTCACCCTCATCTTTTCCAACTGTGATAAGCCATCCCAAAGACTCCATACATCGTTTTCCACTTGCTGTAGGAATTCTCTTCTTCAAAATCAGGCCATTATAGAGACTAAAGAATTTCCTACATGTTTTATCATCCTCTTCCTCAGCTAACATTAGCCATGGAACCCTACACAAGTTACTGTTAAAATTCTCCTTGGTGACCACAGAACGCCAGGATTTGCATACAATGCCAAAATTTAGGAAGTCTTCAATCAAATTTATACGTTTAACTATTAGAACCAGTAGATCCTGTTGAAGGTCCGACCAATCAGACATATTTGTAAAGAGAGTTTTGGCAGGAATTTCAGTTTATCACTTTTACACAAATAGTCAATTGGCTTCACCGTTTACTTCAAATATCCGTTTGATCATGAATTTTGATCAGATTTTCAAAATTTGATCTTCAAATAGTTTTTGGGACTTCCAATCACAAAACCTCAAAAATCGGAGTAAAATGCATGTCCAATGTCCAAACACAGCTTCAAATTCCAGAAATCATAACTTCAAAAATTCAAATTTCAAGTATCAACATCAAATCTATGGCCAAACAGGAATTAGTCTTCTTTCACTTTGGCGAAGTTACAGTTCTAAGCTTTCGAACACGAGATATAAGCAAAATAGATTAACAAAGATAAATACACAGTTAGAAACAACAAAAGAAACTGACCGTTTTACCGGACGTCGACGAACAGCTTCGCCGGCGGCCATCAAACGAGACAAATCTCAGCTAAGAGGGAGTGTTAGTAAAAGAAAGATGAGAAAATGATAAAAATGGTATCTTATGTTTTGAATCAAGTTCAAAAAAGTCTCTAAAGTATTGCTTTGAACCGTTTTGATCCTTTTAACTTTTTCAAAAGTAAGCCCTTTTAATATTCGTCAAATATTTAATAAAAAGTTTAATCAAGAAAGAAGTGATTATTTTGGCATAAACTCTGATTAGATGCTTCATGTATTTGTTGTAGCAGTAACTTTATATATTTCCAGTATAAAACATGGTCTGATTTATTTGCAAACACACACGTTTATCATTATTCATTTAGTAAAACAACAAAAACTACGTCTCAATCTCAAACTAATTTGCACAACACTACATTTCTTTCTGTTTCATTATCACTATCTTCAGCAATGCACATTTGCAACGCGGAATAAGAGTTACATAAAATTTTGATCCGATAGATACTTTCTAACACAAAGTGAGTTTTTTGAACTTAACAGTAACATGATCGCATTGTCTCACTGTAGCTAAAACAACACGATAAACTGAAGTTAGATAGTAGTAAAGCAACATTACGAATTCTCCATGTAAATAGAACAGTTAAACTATTGCATGTTTTAGCGTTGAGCAGCAAAACTAACTACACTAGATGTGTAGCTGCAGAGCTACTTTCTTGAACATTCAAGATAACTCAAGACATACGCCTACGCTTCTGGGCAAGATTCTCAAAGATCTTGTGAACATCAGCAGATGTCACTGGCTTTGATGGATCGAAGGATGCCTGTAAAGGAAATAGAAAGGTAAGAGAATGCTCAAGCGCTATATCCTGAGAAAATGAGAAATATCAGTTAAACAGTAACAGTTTGGGATGAGGGATATACCAGGTAGGTACCAATCTCGTCTTTAAGGTCAGCGATACCAGTCAGAACCTCCATTTTCTCGACATGGCCCAGATTATTAAGCAACTCAGCGCTCTGGTCTTGCTCATGTTGAGCTCTCTTCTGCTTTGCCATTTGCTCATATTCAGCAATGGTATCCTCTTTATCAAGTAAGAAGACGAGACCTTTCTGTTTGTAGAATTCTACGCAATTTGGACACCTACAGAGGACTTCTCTCCAGTCTTTGGAAAGGAACATTGACTTGCTTTTCTCAAGGCTAATTGGAGCTTCTAACAAATTCAGTCCAACAACACATTTGGTACTAGGACCAGCAACTGTGTTACACTGATTAAGGAGTGTGTTTGTTGCAGCATTTTCTCCAAGAACAGCCTTTCCGTTGCAGTCTTCTTTAGGACTATTATCGGTTACAGGAGTCTCAACTGAGGAACTTCCATTGCTAAGCTCCTTAGAAGATCCCACAGTTAAGGGTGCTTCTTCAACCACCTCCTTGTCCTTTGAAGCATTTGTAGTAGTCTGCTGCTGGACTGGTGCAAAGATAGAATCAGGATATAGCTTTAAAAAAGAACATACAGTTGCACACCCCTGGCAGATTAAATCTTCAAATTGAGGCTCCCCTTTGTCATCCCTTGGAACCTGTAAAAAGACTAGGGTTAGCTTTTTTAACTAATGAGTCATAAGAGGTAATTACAACCAACTCACAGATCAGGGAACAAGTAATGCATTCATTACAGGGAAATATGTGATCTCGTGACTGAAGGGGTATATATCCTTCATGATGGACAAGAATCAAGGAACAATATGAATGAACACAACAATTTTCAGAAGCTACGATCCCTGAAATATCTCAAACTAACTCCTTGAAACTTCATAAATCATAAAGTTATCTCACACAAAATGTAAGGGAATTGAAGATGATCAGCAGAAATTAAGCAAGAAGAAACAAGAGTTACCAACCATATCAGAGGACTCAAGACCAAGATGCTCCTCATGAAACCAGTCCTCACAGATGCAGCATTGGAGATTCTCCAATTGGTCTTCAACATCAGGATCAGGATATGGCCGGCCACATGTGCAGTATGAACCTTTGAAATTGTGATTATATGAATTCTTTGTGTTTTCAACATCTTTGCTAGCATCAAGCTTGCAGAAGAACTCCCCGAACTTTGAATTTCCACAGTCACACCTGAAGTTTCTCTTCGTCCAAAGTTCCAAAATCTTGTTCAACCAGCATCCAAAATTTAAAAAAGAAACAAGATCAATATATCTCAATGTAAGAAGTAAGATATTTAAATTATAACCACAAAGAAGAAAAACATGAAAGAGCACCATAGTACTCATTTTGAAAAAGTCATCCTACTGTACTAGATAACATTCTTAAACACTTTTTTTTTTGATAACATTCTTAAACACATTAGAGTCATGGTTTCACAAAAATACCACTTGTGGGAACCCAGACATGCAAAAATAACAGCATTGCCATGCAATTCATCTTTGAAAATGAAAACCTAAGTTTAACTTCAAAAACATTTCAGTTTTAGTTTACCAATCTACTTATGCTAGAGTGATGAAAAACCAAGCAGCAAGTTGGATTAATCAAAGAGAACATTAGAGTATAGCACATCCACTGGAGTACACTGGCAACCACCCATATATACATGCAGAAATCATAAACTACTGACATTCGACAAGAAATCTTTATTCTTTACATTTCAAAAGACAGAATGGTGACATGGGTATTCATTTCCCCAGGTAGTCCTGGGTTTTATGTATATAAGCAGAAATATTTTACCATCAGTAGCCTGAGATCATTAACTTAATCATTAATTATATGAAGGAATAAGGCAAGTCCTTAGATCAATGAATACCTCATGACCATCATGGCAAGAAAGGCTACAAGCTGTGCATACTCCAGCATTCCCATTTGGTGTGCATGTCAAACAAGAAAAAATAGCCTGTCTCTTCATATAACCTTTACTATAGGTGCACTCCTTTCCTTCATCACCACCTAAGACCAAATCTGCTTCCTAATGAAATGATTTATCCCAATTAGAAAAAAAAATTAAAGCATATACTACAGTAAAATAAACGATCAAATTGAAAACATCATGATCAACTCACTGGTCAAAATGAAAACTTAAAGCACACGCCTCTTTATCTTCTCAAACTTATTATCCAGTTTTCAGTAGGTCTAGTGAGGCAACTCTGAAAGTTCAAAGATATTAACTCGACCGTCAGATGTCTGACGAAACTAGAAAGACCTCTTTGAATGTGATCGGCTTTCTCACCTCTCTTACACAGACATAAGCATAGAATAATTAGCTAAGACCCCTGCCTATACATTCATCATCATCTAGACATCTACACCTCAAACTCAATCTAGTAGTCACCAGCTATATGAACTATCAGTATCATTCTACTTTGTTTTCAATATTTAGAATATTAATCACAACACTGGACATAAACTTACCAAAAACTTTACTTAAACCAAGCTTGAGACCAGTAATGCCTAGCTAAAGATAATATTAACATATTAAAATTTATATTTACCCCAGTACGGTAGTACCTATCTTAAACATCTATTTATGGAGCTGAAAGAAAAATAACCCAATTCGCATCTTCAAGCCTTAATATTCTATGGTTAATATGGAATATGGATCTAAGGTGTCAAAAAGTAAGAAAGAACATGACTATCATAAAGTGCACAATATATCACTATCAACACTGTTGCCGATGCAAAAGAAGCTATTTGCCTAACATCAGAAAAGGTAAACTCCAAGACATCATGCTAATATGATGTGTTCCACGCAAACTACTGATTGAGTTCATCTGAACACTCTCATCAGGATGGAATTCAAGGGCTGGCAATAATTAAACATACATAAGAAAGTGTTTAACATAGAAGACATCAAACTATAAAAGACTTAACATTGAAGAATATCATCTGACGATGGGCATTACTATCAATCAAAAAATCAGCCGATTAAGTATCATTTCCAAATTAGTTCGCTTTTACTACATAAATTATCTATATATATTCTGCTCTATTCAGATATATTTCATTCTTTTTTTAACAGTGAAATATCTGAGTGCCAATGACTCACTGTTCGAAACTCAGCGGATAATTAACATTCCCCTCTACCCTTCTTCACTTATATACCAATTCTTTGACTGCAACAGAAGTTGAACCTGAAATATGCACGTAACCACACATCACAAGCAAAGCTCTTACCACATAACAAAACCCAGGGGGCTCGAGTGCATTTCATTCTATCACTTAATTATTTGTATATTAAGGTAATTAGGTGTTCTCTTACTCTCACACTTGTCTATAACATTTCACTATGAAAATAAAGGGCAGACCAATGTACTGAGCTCCCGCTGTTGTAAGCACCCTTACTCTGCATTTCTGTAAGAAACTATTTCCACAGCTCAAACCTGTGACGTCATAGTCACATGGAAGCAACTTTACCAAGCTCTTTGCAGGATTTCATAATTGAATAAATGTCTTCGTGACTTCAAATTCTAACAACCAACGGAAGTTGCATATGATTCCATTTACTATTCATCCTCAATTCTATTAACATACAGCCACAAACACTGACATAGAAATGCAACGTAACAAGTCAAATTGAATTGAGAATACAGTACAAAAATCAAAATTAGCAAAGTGAATTACCAGCTCCTGCTCTTCGAGATCTTGGAGAAACTCTCCAATTGAAACAGTATTCTCACCATCCTCTTCAAATGCGTCAGCCATTTTCAACCCAGAAATGAGCTATCAAACCAAATTAAACCCTAAAAGTAGCTGCAAAATAGGAAAACCTGGGAACACGAAACCCTAAATTGGAGAAAAAAGAAAGGTATCTACACGCAACGATCAGCTGAATCGATGAAGCTTACTGTCATTATCCATAAGGAAATTACTCTGTGAAAAATGGGCTAGGGTTTTATTCGAGGCAAAAAGGGCTGTAAAGACATTTTCCCGCCATTTTGATCAATTTTTTTCAATGAATCTGAATTCAAGGTATATATATGTGGGTGTCCTATGACTAGATTCTTCTAGAAATGGATAAGCAAAAATTATACTCTCTTCCAATTTGTTCAATACGAAGAAAAATATTTTTCGTAAACAAGTGGCTTGTTATTATTTTTTGTGTTTGACAGGTAAAGTATT